TTATGGTCCCTGCTGTGAAATATTTGGCATTTGTGATTTGTGGTATTTTTGTCTTGCACTTGCCTTTGTACCCTTCTTGATATTTGCTACTGCTATGCCTTGGCCTAACTTGGTATGAAATGCTTACCCAAAGAAAATGCTCTAACATGTATGCCTAAATATTCTTGTTGCTAAGTACTTTGAAGATGCTCTCAAATTAATGCTTCTCGTTGAATTGTACATGTACTATTCCATTTCTTTTCCATGTGTACTTTTGGCATGAGTGGTTTGGATTAATACTTGGCACAAAAATGAAGCTACCTTGGAAAGCATGAAGACTTGGCAAAAACATGACATTGGTGACTTGGAGAAGAAGTTTGGAGAATTAGACAACAACTTGGCACAAAGTGAGGGCATCTGTGGCTTTTTTAACATAAAGGTAAAGAATGCTCTTAGGTTTATGTGAATTGCTTGTCATTTTGAATCCACTCATTAATTATTCCCGGTTCACTTGGTAGATTATGTGATGATGGTGAAGATATCATGAAGATGAGGGAATTTGAAGGATGGAGCATTGACATGAAAATGAAGATAACCTTGGAGCAAGATCTTGGTAGGAATGAAGCATGAAGTCCACTCTTTTAGGCCTAGGCTTGCTAATAGAATTAGGACTTGTATGACCATGTAGCTATTGGACTTTGAATTCAAAATGAATTTTAACCTTCTTGATCATGTAACCTTTGATTTTTACATTTTGTAATGACTTCAGCACTTGGAATTTGAATCTTATAAGCTAAACTTTGTAGCATTTGTGAATCAATTCGAACTTCTTACAATTTAACTTTTGTAACATTTGTTAAATATTTTGTAATTTATACCATGGGTAACATTCTTGCCTCGAACTTGTTTTTCTTCATTTTCCAAATAACTTGACATGTTACTTGACCAAGGCTTGACTCAAGAGAAACCAAAACACCAGGCATAGCATGGTTTGGTCATGGCGCGAGGGCATGATGATTAGTTGTGTCCTAAAACAATGGCTCGCCTGTTGCCAATTTGAACTTCATGATCTACTTAAAAAACAAAATCCAACTTGAACCATATGAACCATAGTTTTACCAATTTTAACTAATGTTGAAAACCAACTTGAAGCTAATCAAAATGATTCTCTAGCCTGGTTTACCAAAAGGCTCCAACTATTTCTTTATGATGCAACATGACCAATCACATGTCTTGATTAATCACACATCCTTAGCAACCTTGAAATATCATTTGAAGCCATTCTTGAAATGCACCTTGCCCATGAATTGGTTGAAAGCAACTTTAGGAGTGACTTGAATGATTTTGAGATCATTTGGCACCATGAGTTGCCTTGGCACTTGAAGCACACAAATGTCTTGTTCATAATATGCCATGAACCTCTTGTAAACCTTGGGTTAATTTTTGAGTATGGCTCAACACATGGAGGCAAAGCTTGAAATCAAGTTGGAATAAGATTCAAAACCTCTGAATATCAATGATCATGCCTTGAAATGGATTCTAACATATAACTTGGACCATTGACCTTGTCATGGTTGCTTGATCATGAAAATAAGGGCACACTCCTCCTTGAAATCAAATCACCTCAACAAAAGCTTGCAAACACCACAAGTATACATAAAACCTTAATGACTTAAACCCTAAAGGATCATGGCCATAGGCCAAATAATCATCATGATGATAAAGAAGTCTCACAAAGCTAGGTACAAGAAAATAAATAGGGTAGGACAAATTTGAGGTATGACATCTGGATGTAGGTTCCACGCTGCATTAAATCTCATCATTTTCACGTCTTTAAGTGATGAGAAGGATAAATCATAAAAACCTTTTTCGAGAGAAGTAATGCCCCATCTTTTACGATTTTCCCACAAAGGAGAAAACTTGTTCTTCAAGGCAACCATGGTCAACAGAGTTAATCTTTTTGGCCAGATGACTCAACACCGAAGGTTATACTAACAAGCTTCAAGGTCAACTTAATATTCTTCTTTCGAGATGGAAATGACGATCATGTCCCCTTGACGCAAAATTGAAGGAGCTAAGATGTTGTTATATGGCATATGTTTGCGTTTACATTCAAAGCTCCGAAGAATGATTTCGTTGGTTTGATCTAATTTTGCTTCTTTGAAATAGGTTTTTGAGTGTAGTCGAGACAATACAAGATTTGAAAAAATTGCATTGGCGGAAACCACCACTGGTGGTGACTGGTTGATCCGGTGAACATAACTGACATTGATAAACAATGATCAAATGAGAGAAGAGAGAAAAACACCTCTAAAAAAATTGTCATAAGAGTTATAATGGATTGTTCTTTGTCATATTATTTTATTTATTTTTTAATTATAAAATAAAAGTTAACGTTTAGCCAAGAATGATCTAATTTTTTCACATAAACTCTATGAATTCCACTTCTTTTTAATTAATTAATTAATTTATTCTCTTTATGTAAAAACTATATAAAATTAAAATTTTTGACATAATAAAATCCATGTTGTTTTTCCTTTTCTTATTGGTTGCTTTTTTCTTAATAATATGTTTGTATCCTACTTTTTTTTTATTATCATATTTTACTAGACAAAAATTATTTAAATGTTTTAAGAAAATAAAATCTACGTTTTCTTCTTTCTTTATTTTATCAGTTTTTCTATTTATTAACCACATATTTTAGGAACAATGAGATAATTTGTATATTACTTTGCTGATAAAAGTTGTTAATTTATTAAAGAAAATTTAGAGGCAAAATTAGGCTTAGTTTAATTATTTTACATATTAATTTAATTATTTATTTATTAAAAAATAACTTTCTCCTATTAATTAGTAAAAAAAATATAATTTCTCTTCCACTAATTTTTAAATTCACATTTTTTCTTGTATTTATTTATTCTCTCTAGAAAAAATTTATATAAATTAATTCACAAAATAAAAAAAATATTATTTATTCTAATTTTTAATTATCATATTCTTATTAAGTAAAAATAATATAAAAGCCAGTATTCTTCTCTTTAAAGTATTTATTTATATTTTAATGTGTAAAATGAAAAAATATGATAATTATGGTAAGAGAAATGAGATACACATAACTTGAACAAAAAAAGAAAAATAATATATGTAAAATTTTTCAAAACATATAAAGTAAAATAAATTTGTGCTGACGTGACATTAGAACTGTTCCTTATGTTGATGCAGAGTGTGACGTGGCGTTACGGACGACGGAGATTGGAAGGTGAAGCGTGTAGTATTCTTCTCACCACTTGTACTCACACGCCGTAGCATCCTATAATTGGTGGCTATATTTTCTTTGCAACAATTCATTTTCTTCTTTCGGTGTCTATATAATTGCATTAGTTAAAACATATTACTTTATTTGTAAATAATAATTTGATAAATAAAATTTAATGATGTGAATGATAAACATATTTGAGAAAAAACACGCGTAAAATTTTTTTTTATATTATATGTATCACAATAAAATATATTTATATTTTTTAAAACTGAAATGATATAATAAATATAAGAATTTTAATTGATTTTATGTGTAAAATTATTTTACACGGGTATATTATCTTTAAATTCAATATGTTTATAAAATTATAATATTTTCAAAAAATTTCAAAAAAAATAAATAATTAATTTCATATTTATTAAAAATATTAAATATATTTGTTAAACCAATTTAATTTGTAATGTGCGAAGACAGTTAATTATACAGGGTGGATTTGAATTCACATATTTGTTTATTCACCGTGATATAATTATGGTTATTAAATTATTAAATTAGTAAAAATGATATGTAAATTAAATTAAATTTTTACTTCATGATTGAGTATTCATTTTTTTTAGAGGTGTCATTTTTTAATATCTTGTTTTTTTAATGTGAATAAAAGAATAATCATGATTAAATAGAGTCAAATAAAAAATAAAAATAATTGACCTTTAGTATTATTTGAATATTTAGTGTAATTATAAAATTAATAAATTATCAAAATAAACTATTAAAATAAAAAATAATAATTAATTAAATAAAATAAAGAGAAAATGACATTTCAAAAGTAAACATTTTTTCTAATCAAATTAATCATATGGAATTTGACATAAATATTAATAGATTAAAGTAATGCATTGTAAAATAGTTTGAGTTTAATTGGTATGCACTTATATTATAATATAATTTTACATTGTCATTTAATAGGAATTAATCAATTTCTTATGTCATATCAATAGTTTAAAATTTAAAGTTTGATGCAACCGAATATATGAAACTGATTGATTAACAGTATAAAATAATTTTATGGTGTCCGTACATACCAACTAAATTCAAATAATTTTATACCATAATCTAATAAAGTTAGATCATTCGATCATCTTATAACAATATTTTAAAAATTAAAAAAAATATGACAGAATTTACTTTCTTCATTAATTTGGGTTGAAATGTAAAAAATTTACACTGTATATTTTTTTTCTCTAAATTTTAATAAAAAGATTCACTTTAACAATTTTTTTCATTAAAGAATATATTAATTATACTTTTTTATGACATTTATATAAATACAACTTGTAATATGATTAATGAGTTGTAATTATTTTATGAGTTTTGCCGTTATGCCAACGTGGCATAAAACGGTTCTTCACCGGTATGACATGTCAGCTTGGGACGACGGAAACAAGAAGAAGTAACGTGTTTTACTGTTTTGACCACCTCCATTCACACGCCGGAACACCATTGAATTGGTGTCTATAGTTGTTTCTCAAAAGAATTAAATTTTCTTATTTTGACTTTACCACTTTTAAGTCACGGGACATTTTGGGAATTCTACATGAAAACCCGTGACCCTTTTATAAACACCACATTGTTATTCAACCACAAGTACAGAAGAAGTAGAAGAAGAATTTCACTGTGAGAGAAAGCTACTTCAAAACAAACCAGCTTTCACTCTCACATTCTCTTTCTCTCTCTCTCTCTCTGCAATTATCTTCACTCTCCAATGGCGCTGAAGAATCCAACTCCCGACACAGAAAAAGCTTCAAACGGCGTACCACCGCCGGACGACCGATGTCCGATTGAAGAAGTAGCTCTAGTCGTCCCTGAAACCGACGATCCATCACTTCCGGTCATGACTTTCCGGTCATGGTTTCTCGGAATAACCTCATGCGTCATCCTCATCTTTCTCAACACGTTTTTCACTTTCAGAACTCAGCCTCTCACTATCTCAGCCATTCTCATGCAAATCGCTGTTCTCCCAATCGGAAAGTTCATGGCCGCAACTCTTCCGACGAAGGAGTACAGTTTTGTTGGATGGCGTTTTACTCTAAATCCTGGTCCGTTTAACATGAAGGAGCATGTTATCATCACTATTTTCGCTAACTGTGGTGTTTCCAGTGGTGGTGGTGATGCTTACTCCATTGGTGCCATTACTATTATGAAAGCTTATTATAAACAATCTCTTAGTTTTCTTCTTGCTCTCTTCATCGTCATAAGCACACAGGTTTGTATTATTATTACTACGATTATTATTATTTTTTTTAATATAATTTTATTATTTTTAATTAGTCCTTTTTCCTTTATTGATTTCCTTGCATATATAAAATCTGCACGACATTCCACTAAAATTATTTTATTTTATCTTAATTATTTTTATATATTATGATTAATATGATTATTAAATGATGAACTGATGAAGATGAAGTTTTGTATTTGAGACCCGTGAAGGTTGAAGTATTTTATTTGCGGAACTAAAAAAGTATTCTGTCTGTATTTGTTTTGTTATCTGTAAGTCTATCTGGAATTTGTGCCATTTTTTTATGCTTGGTGATGAAAAAGTGTGGAAGATGAGTTGAATTTTATTTAGAATATGTATATCTTTCTATGGAGAAAATATTCTGTGATAAATTTGCTTTATATTGTTGTTAAGTAAAATAATTTTAATTTTAATGTTGTAAATTGGGTTTTGTTGCAGTTAATAGGGTATGGATGGGCTGGGATTCTGAGGAGGTATCTGGTGGACCCAATTGAAATGTGGTGGCCAGCAAACCTTGCACAAGTCTCTCTCTTTAGGTTCATCCTTTTACCCTTACTTCAATATTACGTTTTATTTTATTGGAATTTGTAACTCATTTATTTATTTATTTTAATAACCCTTTGCTAACTACAAAGTACATTGACAAAGAAAGAGCATTGAATTCGACACTAATGACACAGCTGAATTTCCACTGACACTTTGAAATCAGTAATAATATGGAAAAAATGTAAGTAAATGTGAATGTGATTATATGTGTCGGTGTTGTGTCAGATGTCGTGTATCTGACAGGATCAAAATTGTTATTGTTGTGTATATCGATAATATTTGATCCAATGTTGATTACCCAATTCGAAAACCAATTACTTATTGTTTATTTATTTTCAAAAATTTTGATGTCTGCATAATTGATTTAGTGATGTTTCTTGTTGCCAAGTGCAAAGCTAAATAGAAACTTCCCAATTATACAAAAAAAGAGTTGTTAAATCAGTAAAAGGTAAAGCTAATCAAGTTTATCATTGACTTGTAATTACTAGCTTGAAATAGACAATAGAAAAAGACATTTTGTTTAACTTTAGTGGGCACAACACAACAGCCATTATACCAAAATTGACAAGTTGTAAATATGCTGTGGACTGCGCATCTTCACGCTGTGTTGTTCGGTTGATGTAAGATTCTTTTAGACAAGAGATTATGACAGTGAAGAAGAAACTATTCTCCAATGTTTCTTTGGTTGTATAATTGACAAATAGGCAAAGACAGAATCTTAATCAAAAGAATTTGGGCAATAGTAAAAATCAATTACTTAGCTAAAGTTAATTTTGCTGCTTGTTTATTACTACTTTTTTGTTCTCTAATACTAGTTTGATTACATCATTAACCTTATGCTACAGGGCACTCCATGAAAAAGATGAAAAATCAAAAGGACTTACTAGGATGCAGTTTTTCCTCATTGCAATGGGTGTAAGCTTCGTGTATTATGCACTCCCTGGATACCTTTTCACAGTCTTAACATTCTTGTCATGGGTTTGCTATGTATGGCCAAATAATATAACAGCACAGCAAGTTGGATCAGGTTACCATGGACTTGGAGTCGGCGCTTTCACATTTGATTGGGCTGGGATTTCAGCTTATCACGGAAGCCCTCTTGTTGCTCCATGGTCTTCCATTGTTAATGTTGGAGTTGGATTTATCATGTTCATCTATATAATTCTACCTCTATGTTACTGGAAGTTTAACACTTTTGATGCTAGGAAGTTTCCTATATTTTCTAATCAGTTGTTCACTCACAGTGGACAAAAGTATGACACTACTAAGATCTTAACTAAGGAATATGATCTTAACATTGATGCGTACAACAAATATAGCAAGTTATACCTTAGTCCTCTCTTCGCATTATCTATTGGGTCAGGTTTCGCAAGGTTTACGGCAACCCTCACTCATGTAGCATTGTTTAACGGCAGGTAAGCTGCTCACAGAGCCTTTATAATAAATTTATTTCTTATAGACTCATCGTGACACTGACATAGTTTCCTGTTCGCAGAGACATATTGAGACAGAGCAGGACAGCAATGCGTAATGTAAAATTGGATGTGCATGGTAGACTCATGAAGGCTTATAAGACAGTACCAGAATGGTGGTTCCTCATTTTATTATTTGGAAGCATGGCACTATCCATAATAATGTCTTTGATTTGGAAAGTGGATGTTCAACTTCCATGGTGGGGTATGCTCTTTGCTTTTGCCTTAGCTTTTGTTGTAACCCTCCCAATTGGTGTCATCCAAGCAACTACCAACCAGGTATTAACTCTAATCAATATTTCTTCCATAGTTAGTATAGTACTTTTCTTTCCCCTTGAATCTCGATTGTAACACGAGTGGTGGTTATCTTGCAGCAACCTGGATATGACATTATAGCACAGTTCATGATTGGGTATATCCTTCCTGGAAAACCAATTGCAAATTTGCTCTTTAAGATTTATGGGAGAATCAGCACCGTCCATGCGCTATCTTTCTTGTCAGATCTCAAACTCGGGCACTACATGAAAATTCCACCTCGATGCATGTATACAGCACAGGTCTTTTCCACCTCAAAACCTCTTAGTTTAAGCTCTTTTTTTGGATCCTTTTTTTATTTTTTCTTATCAATTATTATTTATTTGTTTATTTTGAAATGTCAAAATAGCTGGTGGGAACTGTAGTTGCTGGAGTGGTGAACCTTGCAGTGGCTTGGTGGATGTTGGATAGCATTAAGGACATTTGCATGGATGATAAAGCTCACCATGACAGTCCTTGGACTTGCCCGAAATACAGAGTGACATTTGATGCATCAGTTATATGGGGTTTGATCGGACCAAGGCGTCTATTTGGACCCGGTGGATTGTACCGAAACCTCGTATGGTTATTCTTGATTGGAGCTGTGTTGCCAGTTCCTGTTTGGGTGTTTAGCAAAATCTACCCTGACAAGAAATGGATTCCTCTGATAAACATACCAGTTATATCCTATGGTTTTGCTGGAATGCCACCTGCAACTCCAACCAACATTGCAAGCTGGCTATTGACCGGAATGATCTTCAACTTCTTTGTGTTCCGCTTCCACAAACGTTGGTGGCAGAAATACAATTATGTTCTATCAGCGGCACTTGATGCAGGCACGGCTTTTATGGGTGTTTTGATTTTCTTTGCTCTGCAAAATGCAGGCCATAGTCTGAAATGGTGGGGAACTGAATTAGACCATTGTCCATTGGCTACTTGCCCAACTGCACCAGGAATTATAGTCGATGGTTGTCCTGTATTCTAATAGAGAAGCCTCAACGATTTAGCTTTCTCTTTTGTATCTGTTTTTGTCTTCCGGGGTGGGAATTAAGTTAGGCTTGGAGTATAGGTGAAGGGACTACATCAATAAGCAATTGCTTAGCAATTATTGTGTACATGCTTCTTGCTTGTTACAGGGTTTTCCTTTTTGTCTTTTTTTACCTGCCTTATTAAATCGATATGTAGTTAATTGGTAATGAAACAAAATTTGAAGTCTGATAAATTCATATTTGGTGAACTTTATAAACTAATGGATATATGGAAATACATATTCATTCATTTTGGTGAAAGACACTCATGCTTTGTAGTGGCATGGAATCTAATACCAAAAGGATTATGATTCCTCAAGCATCTTATTCATCACACACAAATTGGGTTAGAACTGAGAGCAGTTTGGGAAAAGAGGAGAGTTTGATCCCTCTCCGATACTTTCTTACTTTTAAGTTTCAACCTACTTTTTTCAAATTATGCAATTTTAACTATAAAAATCACTTAATGTTACGTGGTTATATATAACAAATCATACAAGTGTTGAAATGTCAGTACTGATAATTGACTCACCAACAACCTACTTTAACTAGCTTCCTCCCATGGAAACCTTTCATGGTTTTTCGTGTGAAACATTCCACACCCTCATACTTTATTGAGCACTCCATGTTGAGGTTAGGGGGTTGGATTTCCATGTTTGACGTACGCACATTTAGCAGTGTATTGCATAGTGGGGAGGAACTAATGGCGCTTCCTTTGCGTAATCCTCAGAACTAAGTTGTGAATTATCATAACTTCAGGTTGGTGATTGAGGAGGTTCAAAACCAGAAATGCCTCCAATGTCTTCAGTAGCATAATCCAACATATATTAAAAAAGTATTAGCATCAATTTAGATGACAATGGCTGCAAGATCAAGCCATGAAATTAGCATCTCACAGATGCAAGACAAGCCTTTTCGATATAAATTCTCAATGGATCCAACCCTTCCCTGGACCATGCCATTATCAGATCACAAGCTTTATAGCACCAGATTGGTTTTTAAGTGTTATGCTTGACTTGAATAGTTACTGTATATGGAAATTATTTAAAATGCTTAAGAACTTTCTTTAGTAAGATGTGTGCCTTTTGGTGCCTCTCATCTCCGGCCGTTAAAACTTCCAACATCTTTTATTTTTAACGGTTCTCATCTCCGGCCGTTAAAACTTCCAACATCTTTTATTTTTAACGGTTCTGACTAACATAAGTATAAGACCATCTTTGAGATTGTATAAAACGGGCTACCACATATGACTTAAAATTTGTCAAGATTTAATTGAAGCTAATTAGGATCTCATAAAATATTTTTCATAAGACCCTTATTTGATTTCTCAGAGTTGAACCATGACTTACACAAAACTTCTAAAAATTTAAGACGAAGTTGCATATGCAATGCATACACAATTGCGGCGGAAAAATTATTGAGATTAAGCTATTGATTAACTTAACTCGAAAAGTAAGAGTCGCCACTGAACTTTATTGTTTCCAAAGAAAAAAAGAAAAGGTCGAACAAAACCCATAAAACCAAAAAAAACTAAAAAAGAGAGATCTAGATACGGAAGTTGGTTATACAAGGGGAAGATATTAGCACCCGTCACATTCGTTGTACTCAACGAAAACCACTTGCAAATTTGTGTTTATAAAAGCTGGGTTGTTTGTTGATTGATTTTAAGTGAAAAGATATTTAACCGTATTTGAGTGGAAAAACTCAACTCACTACCCACAAGTATGAAGAAATGAACATTTGCATCATCTTGATATAAAGAACTTTTACTTGGACTTTCTCACAAGTACATCTTCACATTCAAGTAAAAAATGTCAATCATTTATCGTATCTTGTAAAAGTATAGCAGTTTACATTACTGCAAGAATAGACCAATATCTAATCTTTTGAAAAAGACTTTTAAAGGGAAAAAAATGCACAAAGGCACACAACGAAGTTTAATGATGTTTGTCTTTTTTAGAAGTTTTGAAAAGAGTTTGAATATTCTTAAGTGTTTTACCATTTATTAAAAAAAGATTTTCTGAATCACTTGACAAAGTCAACGTTTATTAAGAAAGAGGCGTGAAGTTTGAAAACAAAAAGTTTTTGAAATAAGGAGAAGTTTTGAAAATTTAAGAAGTGGGAAGGAGATGAAGAAACTATCCTAAAATATAAAGTAAATGGTCTCATTGTTAGGTAGCTCAAGAGAAAGCCTTTGTGTATGCAAATTTACTAATCACAAGAAGAGTAAGCTTTTGACATAGGTTAAAACCACCATTCTTTTTCCTTTGAATTAAGCCCCAAGATAAACCAGCACATAAGCACATGAATACGACAAGGTCCATACAAAGGTCACAAGGTCTCAGATCCAAGGCAAGTCTCAAATGAACCAAAGTTCCAAATGAATCTTAAGTCTCAGGTATCATAAAATATCAGATGAATCTCAAAATAACAGATGAACCAAAGTCTCAGATGAATCTATCCAAACAAAAGAAAAAGAAATACCAGATCTAAGTGCAATAGTCCAGAGTCTCCAAGCATAGGATAGTGACACAAATTCCAAAAGTAAACCACATTAAAGTTTTTAGAGTTTTGATTATTTATTAATGTTTTTGGTCTTTTGAAATAAAAAAATAAAAGATAAGATAACAAAAATAAAAGCAAAAATGAAAATGACATGAATCTAAATGACTTGAAATTAAATGGCATGAAATAAATGACATTAATATAAAGTGCTTGAAATTAAATGTTAGGAGTTAGCATAACTAATAATGTTAATGTTAGTTTTAATGAGAATTAGACTGGTTCGGTATAAATTTAGTGTTATATTAAGCGATCGTAATTGTACTTATATAGAAGTCAAAATTATCCGAGTCCGGTCAATAACAATTTATGTGTCAAGCATGTTAGAGAAATGACACAAAATCATTCTCCTAAAACATGTAACACAAGTCAAAATCAAAAGAAAAAGAAAGAGATGGAGAAGAAGAGATGATCAAGCACCAAGACAAGGGATTATCTATCATCTACTTTAATCATTCTTCTTCATGATACTTTGAGATAAACTTATCATCAATCCAAAGTACAAAAAATTATCAAATGATCATTTAATAATATGTTTGAAATGATGAAAGTTCAATCAATCAAAATATCATTCCAAAGTCCAATTGAACAAAATGAAACATCAGCCAACCACAAATGATTAAGGTCAACAAAAGTCAAAGCATAAAATGGACCAAAATATAATTAAAAAAAATTGAAATCAATTTTAAAAAGTTTTAAAATAGAAATAAAAGAGAAAATACAAAAGTGGTATCAAAACAACAAATAAATGTCCCAAAATATTTGAGAAAATCACAAACACTATAAGTATTGATATCTCAAAAGTTGGGATCAGAAATGTTTGAAAATGATCAAAAATAAAATTGAAAATGAAAATTAAATAAAAATTAGAAGAAAATATGAATTAAATGCAAAATAAAATTTAAAAATTATGCAAAAATATATATGACAGAAAATATTTTTATGAAATTATGAAAAAAAATTGGAGTAAAAAATAATAAAGGAGTTATTTAAAATAAATCAGAAAAAAAAAAGAAAAGAAAATAGAATTAAAAATGAAATGTCCAATGGCTATGATGTGTGTCACATGATCATTGGTTAGAATTTGAATTTTTCCACCAATGCGCACGAACACTTTCATCTTCAACCTTCAGTTTGATTTATGCAACTCCAAATTAGGTGTTTTTAGCATGAATCAAGTAAGGATTAAACATCAACATCCATCGTCGTCCATGTCTCTCTGCATCAGAGAATTGATTTTCTCCGAGCAGAGAGAATTTGCTCAAGAACACGAAGAATCTTAATTCTTCAAAGTAAAATTAAATGATAAAATCAAAAGATAAATTTCAAATAAGTGAGGGCTTTTGATCAGTGGAGCAAGACGAAGAGATTGATTTTGTTTGCTCATAAATGTTACGTGTAACTACCTTTTCAGTTGAAGCTCGAAGGTCCAATAATGGTGAAATTGAGTTGTATGTTTCAGAGAACCTCAAGACAAGACATTGGTTCAATTAGCTTTAGAAGGTGCCAATGAAGGATTTTGGGCGGAGAAACAAAGCTAAAAGAGTTTGAATCAAATAAATAATGAACTGGTTTTTTGAGGTTGTCGTACTCCAAATTTTGACCAATCTTTTCATCCGACTTAAAGCTTAAATCATTAACATATCCAGCATTCTTACAAATCCTCTTATCACTCTCAATGATCTAAACAGTCAAGAGGCCCATTTTTAACTCTTTATTCTTCCTTAATGAGTTTGATCATACATTAAGAGTTTGATTGTTATTTTACGATATATATATATATATATATATATATATATATATATATATATATATATATATATATATATATATATATATATATATATATATATATATATATATATATATATATATATATATATATTTAAATTATTTATCATGTATTTTTTAGAATTAATTTATTAGAAATTATTAGGATTATAATTAGTTTTAGTGACATTTCATTTTGAATGATTGGAATGACCCATTTGGGAGAGATTGTGAGTTTGAATCTCCCCTCCCTCACTTTTAATTTTTTATTTTTTTATTTTTTTTATTTTGAGGTTTATTTATATAATTTTGGGGTTATTATAATAAATTGGAGTTTATTTATATAATTTTGAGTTTAATTTATATTTTGGGGTTATTATAATAAGTTGAGATTTATTTATATAAATTTGGGTTTAATTTATATTTTTGGTTTCATTATAATTTAGAATTTATTTTAATTAATTAATTTTAGTAATTAATAAATTCGGATTTATTTACAAATTTGGGGTTTATTATAGTTTATCTATTTTTATCTTTAATAAATTTGGGTTTATTAATTATTTTCGAGTTTATTATAATTTTATAACTAATATATTTGAGTTTTATCTAACTTATCTTATTTTTA